GAGGTCTAACTAAAATCTCTCGACAGTAATGAAACACTTTCCACCTCGGTATGTTTTAGGTATACTATTATCAGGCCGAAGGTAAATTCTCCAGGCCGAAAGTGACAGGAGAACTGTTACTTTCGGCCTGCTTCAAAGTAAATAAAAGTAAAGTGACATTTTCGAACCTTCAAACCAGTAGAAAATGTGAAAATTACATATTATATACATATATGAGAGTTTATGACCAAAACAACCCCATGTTTTTTCGTCATCATTTAAAAACCGCTAAACCAAATATTTTCAGAATCGGGGATTTTATTAGGAATAAAGAGACCTTTAAAACGATATATCACCTGACATCGCCTTCCCTTTGAAAAAAAAACCGTTCAAAATTGCGCCCAGCTGTCATTTGTTTTTCAAAAAATCGAGAATTTGCTCACATATCATCATTCTAAATTTCGTTGCAATATACTGTAATGACTCAGGAAAATAGACCCGTTACAATGTCTTTACTGTAAAAATTCAATGTAATCAAATAATAAAAAACTGAATTTCCGGTATTTCAAATCAGTATCGATATATTGAAAATGAAACAAATTAGCGTTGACCCAAAATTATTTAAAAATTTTTTTTCTACAACTGTCAAAAAATGATGATGTTCGCACACTCATGACAGTTTGCGAAGTTATACTTTTTTACCCAGGTATTGATTTTTAACGTTCTTATGACGTCGTGCGCGAACTAGCTATTTCGCACACTAGTGCGCGAAATAGCTAGTTCGCACACTGGTGTCATGGTGACACATACCTGTCAGGAAACCAAAAATAATTAAAATTCACCTACCTTTGATTGAAAATGCAATATTGGCTTCGAATGATCGATATTTAAATGGAGTTGTGGAAAAAATATTGATTGCAAGTCGGGCGCGAAATACTTTGGAGATCTCATGCACTAGATACAAAAATAACTAAACGTTAAAATTTTATTATTTAGTCATCATTTAAATCAAATCCATAAGAATAATAAAAGCGAGGCCAAAGTAATTAAATCAGTGATTTTTTTTTTTTTTTTTTTGAAGAGCAGGATGTACATAGAAATCGTGACTCAACATAGGACATTAAAAAATGACGAGGCGGCTCTGAAGATGGTCTAATAAGACCGAAAGCGCTCAGCCAATTTTATTAAATTTACACCGAAATACACAACTGTTGTTTTATTTAAATCAGTGATTAATGGCGCACGTGTGTCGGTCTTTTTCTGAGTTATATATGACATTCTTATACGAAATCTGTTGACCCCGATAAACCAGGACGAAATTATGGATGGTCACGACATACATTAATTAAGTTTAAAAGTTATATTTTTTGCCAAACTGTCATCCTGATGTACTTTGTATTTCAAAAACACTACGAAGAAACCAGGGCATCCAAGGACATACTTTTATTATTAATTTACTTTTGAAGGTACAATACAGTCGTTCCTTTAACCAGCTACTCATAACTTTACGGTTTTATGCAACAGTGCAACACCTATCAAGTGTTGCAGATTTCATAGGAATGGATATCAGCATAGTAGGTATCTATGGTCTATTTTTTTCAATGATTTTTTCCCAAGATAGATTTTGACATTGTGCAATTGGCATCTTGCGACCAATAAGCAGCATTGTTTATGTTTCAAAGTTGACAATGTCAAAATCTATCTTGGGAAAAATAGACTTTAGAATAGGTAGTGAAGAGGATATCTGAAGCATTGGCTTGCTTCAGCCTGTAGAGTTAACAAATATCCACATCGACTAAAAATAAAAACAAAAATAATAATTATGTTTTAGAGTATTTCAAGCGTTTGACCGGTCGGTTACACTTGACAGATAAGCAACGAAGTACACCGTCATTTTTTGACCATTTGGTCTTGAATGACGTAAAATGCGCTGCTCATCTTTCAAAGTTACCGACTGGTCAATCGCTTGAAAACCCCCTTTGTGTTGTGTTGTGTTTATGCCGGGCCAGGAATGCCAAAATTAGGCTCTCCAAACCACGTGATTTTTCAATATGGCGAGCGTGGAAAATTTTGTCGTTTGTTTGTTTATCTTGAGTTTATTTGAAATATTTTCGAGCTAATTACAGTTTATTTTGTTATAATATACTTTTTGAGATGCAGAGTGAATATTCGAAGACTTTAGTGCAGGAAAATCGGGATGTGGGCGAACGATAAGTTTGAAAAAATGTCTAGTTGACATTTGTTTACATTTTGACCTAGTTTTTACAGCAATGAGCAAATGAAGGCCTATAAAAGCTTAGATTCTTGCAAGTATTCCGAGTATGGCTTTATTCTAGATGCAGGAACAGTGGTACTGAGTAATTTTTACGTTTTAATTGGAAAAATTTGAAAGGTTGGGCACTGAAAACAACCTGACATCATCCTTGTTGAAATGCCTTCTAAAATCAACTACAAGACACCTTTGTGGCATTTTTAATTAGAAAAAAAGCCTAATGAAGTCAATAAAATGAAAAAAACAAATAGGGTTTAGTCTCAAAACAACCACACAATCCACTTTAAAAAGCTTTAAATTGTGTACTGTCATATAGGAAATAAGGAACTTCCGCCACGAACGCCATTTTGGAATAGTTTTGACAGGTCGTTGGAATGCCTAATTAGGGAATCCAAACCACGTGACTTTTGCCAACCAGCCGGCATTTTGAAATTTTTGTGAGGTTAGAAAACGGGTTGTTACATGTCAACGATGTCAGAAAAGTGCCAGATTGATAAGGCCTAGTACTCATTACCGCGAAATTCGAACGTTTTATGCATGAATCAAACGTCAAATTGTCGAAGCAATGTCAAAAAAGAGCGAATTTCGCTGTTATGAGTACTAGACTTAATACTGTCAAAAAAAAACATATGTTTTTTGTTTATTGTTTGCCAACCAGACGCCATTTGGACAGGTTCTTGGATTGCCTAATTGGAATAAATAAGGTTAAGAGGGATTATTTTCGACGTTCTTTTGATAAAAATGCAACGTTGCCAGACGGTACTCCGTTCTTTATTAAGAGTTGATCCTCAGAGCCGCTGAGCAACGCAACAAGTCTTAAGGGCTACTTAAAATATAAGTTGTACCCTAACTATTCCTTACTTAAGGCAATTGCTCGGAAAACGACCATTTCTATAAAAATATGACTTTACTTTCACACCTAAACACAAATCCAGGTGCAATGTTTGTATTCAGAAGTAGATGTCACATGTGTTTATATTGTTGAAATTCCATAAGATGTCAATGTCGGTGTCAGAATGTTAGTCGAAATCCCATTTTTATCCTATTCCTACCTTATTTTTGTCAAGAATTAATGATTCAAAATAAAATAGTATACATATTTTGGTGGAAAATTCTCATATACAGGGTGACACAAGGAATGGGGAACAACCTATAACTTTTTTAATATATAAGTTAAAAATTTGAAATTTGGGGAGCTTAAACGAGACAACTTTTTGAGTTTTTTAGAAGTAAATTGCGTTACCAGTCACTAGTCATTTCCGGTCAAACCGGAAGTGGCCATAACTTTTAATTTTCAAATGGGACACCTGGTATTTTATGAGTTTTCTAGCATCAGTCAATGTCGGTGTTAGAATGTTAGTCGAAATCCCATTTTTATCCTATTCCTACCTTATTTTTGTCAAGAATTAATGGATCAAAATAAAATAGTATACATATTTTGGTGGAAAGTTCTCACATACAGGGTGACATAAGGAATAGGGAACAACCTATAACTTTTTTAATATATAAGTTGAAAATTTGAAATTTTGGGAGCTTAAACGAGACAACTTTTTGAGTGTTTCAGAAGTAAATTGCGTTACCAGTCACTTCCGGTCAAACCGGAAGTGGCCATAACTTTTAATTTTCAAATGGGACACCCGGTATTTTATGAGTTTACGTATGATAAGACCATTTTAGAAAGATTTATAACATATCAAAAAAAAAAAATTGTCTTCAAAAATAAAGTTTTTTTAAAAGTTTTTGGGTTATTTCTCAGCGGATTTTAAAAATGTTGATATCAAAAAATAGGGAAAAAAACCTTGTTTCAAAAAATGTATAGGTCCCGGCGTGGTTACATTTGAAAAATATGGAATACTTTGAAAAAACCTCTTTGTTTAATTTTGATCTGAAATTATGACATTCAGTTAGGAAAAAATTGAAATTACAGATTTTCCTGATATTAGGAATATCCAACTAAATCACTTTACACCAGTGGCAGCGCCGAATTTTTTTTTCTAAAAATTAATTCAATATTTTCATTTTCCAAAAATAGTCCTATCATACTTAAAATGATCTGCTGATGCCAGAAAACTTAAAAAATACCGGGTGTCCTATTTGAAAATCAAAAGTTATTGTCACTTCCGGTTAAACCGGAAGTGACTGGTTGCGTAATTTACCTCTAAAAAACTCAAAAAGTTGCCTCGTTTAAGCTTCCCAAATTTCAGATTTTCAACCTATGTATTGAAAAAGTTATAGGCCCTATGTACCCTATTTCTTGTGTGACCTTGTATATTGTCTCAAGAAATGGTTGACCTCGGCGCTTCGCACCTCGGCCAACCATAGTATCTCTCGACAATGATGAAACACTTTCCACTTCCGCATTTAATATTTCAACCCTTGAAAACAAAATTTTGAGCTGTTCTACAAAGAATGTTTATGTCAAATTTGAGCCAATTCTGGCGTGAGTTTTATTTTTATCTTCCTTGTTGTTGTCCTAAAGTTGACCGTTCACGAGTTATATTAGGAAAACCATTTCCGTATACACTAAATCCAGGATGGCGGAGGAAGCTGGCCCCGCCCAAGGTCGAAAACTCAAATTTTTTAGGCTTCAATTTGAACAACATATTTCAAAATCGCGACTACCCCACCTTTTGCAAGTTGCGGGTCTTTTTTTCGCTCTAATGACTGGCCTAACAAGCCCACATTTAGGTATGGGATGATTTCGTTAGTATTTAGTTCAAATCCTTACTAAAGTAAAAACCAATAGTACCTCAAATAAACATGTTTGAACTCAATTTTCCCCTGACTGGGCCAGGATTTAGGGGGCTTTTTAGATGGTGCCGATTCTAGGGCCCCTTCGTGTTCAATATCGTCGTATTCGACCACTCTTTCGACAGAAGTCATTTGGTTCTCGAGTTCAGTCGATTGTCTCATTCCCCACTGGAACATTCCGGTCAAGCCTATCGCTTGTGTTATTGCCAGACCAACGTTTCCACCGAATTTCTCTTTAAGAAAAGTCAATCAATAAATACATTTTACGTGAGTATAAAATCAAATTTACCACTTCCAATAAGCAAGAAACTGAAAGTAACTGTTGTGATATAAACAATGCAAACCATGTCCAACCAATATCCGAAAGCTCTTGAGGTTGCTATGAATGAAAACCATGCCGAGCTGTGTAGGTCTTGATGGCTATCAAATTCTTTGGATAAAACTTCTTCTGCTCTAAAAGCTCTTATAGTAGTTAACCCTTGCAGAGTAGCGTTGAGGTGAGAGAAAACTGGACTTCTTGCTAAAAAAAAATCTTACAGTAAGTATATGTTAAGCTAAAACATTGTAAACTTACTAATTCCTTCCAATCGCTTCACACTTCTGCTAGTTTTGAGATAAAAGATTCTCATATAATGGAAAACTATTCCCACTATCACGGTAGGAATAAGCAGCCAGGGACTTACAATGGCCACAACAACGATTATACCGAGCAAACTAAGACCAATTTGGAGCACATCAATTAGAGATGATGTTAAAAGTTCATCTATTGCACCCATATCCTAAGAAAAGTAAGAGTTTATATATCATTACAAGCATTTCAGTGGCAGGTGACTTGCCTTTGAAAATCTATTCAATATCCTTCCAGCACTATTCGTATTAAAAAATCTCATAGTCGCCCTAGTAATACTTCTAAACATATTATCGTGTAAATTGGTAGATGCAATCATACAAACGGCGAAAAATACAAAGGCACGAATCATAGTAAAAACGATCAAAGCCAATATTAAAGCTGAATAAATATAAATGCAAGTTTCTCTGGAGAAATGCCAAAAGTCCCATTCAGTTCCATCAGTTTTCGGTTGGAAACCGTCGTCTGTAAGCCAAGAAGCAGTATTGGTGTAATTCATTGATTCGATAATTGGGTTTGATGCATTATAAGTTTGGTTGCCGTTGGTGGCTTCAAAGGCAGCAAGAAAATCTTGTTGTTCTATGTTTACCCTGGAAAAGAAATTCAATTTTGCTGTTTATTGTTTATGAATTTATGTCAAAACTTACCAAAATGTGATAAAATAGTCTACGATACTTCCTAGAAACTGTGCAAACACGAATAGAAAAAATGTCATGAATATCGTGCAACCATTTCCTCCGGCTTTGAAATAGGCGGCGTATATTTTGGCACCTACTGATCCAGAACCTTTTTGTTCTTCAACCTAGAAATATTTGAAAAAAATTATTTGTTAGGTATTAAAATGATTCTATATTATTATCAGAGCGGTCAGGTACCTACTTCAAGAAAAATACTTGAAATTGTAGGTACTTCAGATTCTAGTAAGTACTTGGAGTATTTTACTTGAAGTACAGTGGATAAACAGTACTTATACTTGTACTTTGCATTGTATTTTATTTCATAAAGTACCAGAGGACTTGAAGTACTTTTAAATTTTTCGTTTGACGTTTTTGACAAAAGTGTCGGATGCAAAAGTTTTAAGAAATTGTCACAAATTTACCTGTTTAGGAACGTCTACAGATGCAGTACTTTTTATAGAACTAGTCCTTTCTCTTGCTTGTGACATTCTCCTAGCAGCTTCTATCTTATTATCTTCTTCTGGATTTTGATCGGCAAGCAAATTAGTGAAGTCCAAACCGCTATGTTGTATCTCTGTGAATGAGCCTTCGGCTTTTGGAACTCCATCGTCTAAATAAAGAATATGATCCACCTGAAAATGTATATTAATTGAGAGAAATAAAATGATTGGCATTTTACCTCTTTTAAATATTGCAGCTGATGTGTAATCAGTACAACCGTTTTGTCACGCAAAAAGCCAGTTATACATTGTTCGAATAGAGCTTTCCCGACGTGCGTATCAACAGCAGATAATGGATCGTCTAATAAATATATATCTGCTTGTTTATAGACCTAAATAAATAAAAAAATATTATTCACATTCATTGATTTAGGGCAAGTTACAAAAACAAATCGAGGTACTCACTGCCCTAGCTAAATTGATTCTAGCCCTTTGGCCTCCACTCAAAGACACCCCTCTATCTCCAACAAATGTTTTATCTCCATAAGGAAGCAACTGAAAATCCCTTTCTAAGCTGCATTTTCTCACCACGGTGTTGTATCGAATCCTATCCATCGGCAGTCCGAAAAGAATGTTTTGTCTTACTGAACCTAAATAAACGATTAGAACTTCCAGACTTAAAAAGTTATAAAAATTGATTACCTGCGAATAGCCATGGTTCTTGAGAAGCGTAGCTTATTTCTCCATTAACTTCTAAAGATCCACCACTCAATGGTAATTCTTGTAATATCATGTGTAATAAAGAAGATTTTCCACTTCCAACAGGCCCTATGACTGTCAAAAGTTTTCCTGGGGTTACCGTGAGATTTATATTTGTTAGGGTATTGTCTATTGATGTTTCTGTCCATTTAGCTGTGCCGTTTTTAATAAAAATACCTGCGAACAAACAGATATTCAAATACCAAGATGAAGTATTATAAAGTGCTAGAAGTTACATATTGTTTGCCCAGCGGATCTGAGTCTACGGAAGGAATTCGGACGTAAATGTGCCATGTTGTCACGTTTAATTATAAAAAAGCGAAAATACTAGGCATGAAGTATAGTTCATTTTTTAATAACAAAATATAGATACCAATAAAACGCTAAAAGTTTCAACGTGGTTGTTAGATCTATTCTTATTCTAATAACTGATTTCTTCAATTTTGTCCATTGTAAAAAATAAACATTTTCTAAAGATACCATCAGTTTTTGACAATTTGGCAAGCATCCGGCCTGGATGAACCTGATTGGTGGAGTTTTTGGCAGGATGGCCGTTGCCACGAGGAACCATGTCGTTGTCAATGGACTAAACGTCACCTTACGTCTCGCTATTGGCCAGGGCTTCTGTCATTGTATCCTCCCATCTTGGAATATCGATTTATATTGAAATATCCAGTGGCGGCGGTTTGGTCATTTTCGATTTTCGTGTAGGAGTTGCAATACGATAACACTTCCAAAAAATTCCGCACGCAGCTGGGTATTTTATGAATGGAATCAGCCATTTTTTTTTACAACTGCTTTCCCCTTACCGTTGCCCGTAGACACAGAGTCGCTGGGCAGACATTACATGGGCGTCGTTTGGGGGGGGCAATTGCCCCCCCCCCCCCTAGAAATAGTCTTTTGTACAAGAAAGCAGTAAAAGAGCATTCGTACCGATGGTTGAGTTTCAACTTTCTAGTCCAGGAGGCAGTGAAATTTTTTAGCACTTATTTTCCTAGTTGGTGTCTATTAAATAGTTCTCCTGGTGATACAAAGCAATAATTTTTGAATCTGGCTAAAATTTTCGGATGGGTTCACAAGATCAATGAAAAATACAAGTACGCTTATTTTCCCAGACATAAATATTTCACATTTACTACAATAGAACATATAAAGTATATGAAAATAGTAATTTGGCTTATCTCAGATAGTGAAATTGAGTCTGGCTCAAAATTTTCGGATCTTCAATTTTTCACTTGCCAGACATATTATCCATACTCACAGATTAGCCGGACTATTTTTTTACGTTACTTCAGTATACTTCTCATAAGTAAACCTATTTTTATCACTTAGAAAAAAAAAGGGCCGTGCATTCGTAAGCTTTAACGCATTTCGCGCCTCAACCCATCCGAAATTCTATCCATGTTGTCTCACTGGCAAGTGCCGAAAATCATCACTGCCTCCTAGACTATTCGGTTGAATCCTATCAATTTACAGGGAGTAAACCGAATGTTGAAACTCAACCATCGGTTCAGTGTTTTATAATACCGGCCATTAGACAATTACCTAAACAAATGATGCGGACAGTGAATTTGTTGTGGAAAAAAATACCATCATTTTTAACTATTGTAATATTCCGAGAAAATAGACCCATAAATCACAATGTCTTTACTGTAAAAAATTAAATAATAACAAATAATCCAAAAACTGAATTTCCGGTATTTCCAAATCAGTATCTATAAATTAAAAATGGAACAAATTAATGTGACCCTAAATACATTCGAAATTATATTAATTCCCCAGCGTGATGTCATCCTAACATCCGATCAATGAACTTTTTTTAACGAGGCCATAATAATTAAATCGAATGATTTATGGCATTCTTGAACCACTGTATTCGACCCCGAAAAATCAGGATATTGCGACACAATTATTCGATTTTTTAAACTTAAAATGATAAAAATTTCAAGGAAATTGCATCATTATTTTTAATAATATTTAGGTCGGCCAATGGGATAGTCTGATTAATAGTCAAACGACCGCCTTATTGATGACAAACGACCGCCTATTGATGATTTTGGGGGATAATTACTAATACTTTGCGGGGGATCGATTTAATATAAATACCGCGGTTTTAGAAGTGGAAGTCAGTTGAGAGATGAGTTCGCAGACCTGTCCAGTTTGAGTTAAAATCTACAGTACCTAAAGTGTCAGTCGGAGAAAATATTTGCTGAAAGTTTCTTGTATTGCCTCGGTAACAGTCTTTGAAAAAGTAGCGGAAAATTTTGAAAGAAAGAACAATTTTAGTCGTCAATATTTATGTGCGTGCTAGCTAAAAATTTTGAATAATTAATTAAGTAATTTTTCGTGTAAAAAGTTAACTGTAAGTACTTAGTGGTTGATACACTGGCCGACAAGATTTTTATAACACAGGTTAGATCTTTATTGTTAAAATGGAAATACCCTTCTAATAATGGAAAAAAAATATCCCTAACACGTACCACTTTTCAATAACTTAATAAGACCATTTTACATTAGCAGGTAGTCAATTTTATCAGGAGAGGGTAAAATGGATGCATTTTATAACAAAAAATTACCTCAACTGTAGTGTTTAGATTAGATATAAAAGGCACAATGGAAATTCAAGATCAAGGTCGATGGATCTAGCTATGATGCGTGATTACTGGTTTTCGAAGGAAGAAGATATGACCCATCATAAAAGGAAAAATAGAATAGAGGTACATAATTAGTGTTTTCAGGACATTTTTTGATGTTTGTGTTTTTCTTAGATGTAAGGTTTGTCCAGTAGGTGTAGAACTATAAATACAGTCGATATCCACTGATAGAAAATTCTTAAATTATTTTTTCAATAGATATCAAATATTGTAACATTAGAAGTGGCTTTATAAATGTAACAAAAAAACGTTACGTGTTACAAGTTTTTTTTTCTTATTTTCGTATATGGATAGGTCCATTCTACCACAATATGCTATTCAGCTTTGTGTCACAAAAAAAAAAATAAAAATTTGTCGGCTAGTGAATTTTCTGACTTTCATCAATGATTCTGAATGATAAGAAGTGAACTAACAAATGACTTTTAATGCCTAAAAACTTGAGTGATTTTTACTAGAAAAACTTTTTGACTTTAAAAACTTGAGTTATTTTTACTAGAAAAACTTTTTGACTTTATAAATTTGAGTGATTTTTACTAGAAAAACTTTTTGACTTTATAATTAACTGTGGAACTTTATTGCATAACTTTAATTGCCTTCAGATATAATGACATTCTAATTTAATTTTGCACCAACAATATGAAGGGAATTTATAATGCATTTAACATAACATAATAAGTATCGAATTTGAGTAGGGATTATTAAAAGAATTTTGAATTGGATTGTCCAATTGAAGTTACAGGCTATAGTAACGAACTAATAAGAATTTAAATAATTGTGTATGTTAGCCCGGATTGCGAAAATAGTAATTGTTCTATTTAAATGAAATGGGATGTTTCGAAAAGAAACTTGATGTTCATGAAATAGAATTGTCTTAAAATATTGGAAAGTTGTTAAAGGAAACTTATAATAGAATTTGTTCTGATTAAATAAACTATTACTATTAAATGGAATAGGAAATTTTGAAAGGAAACTTAATGTTCATGAATTAAATTTTGAATTAGGGTTTTTAAATTTTATGTAGAAATTATTGTAAGGTTTTATAAGGATAAGTTAGTAATACCTATATTAATAAACAAATAGGTAATTATTTTGGGTTTTTCATAAGCAGTCAGTAAAGGACTTAGAAATTTTAAAGAATGTATAAAAATAGGTGAAGGGTATAGTTTCTTAGGAATGAATCGAAAGTGTTGAAAAGAGTTAACTTATAAGTTATTAGGAATAGTAGGAATAGGGCGTTTCTTTATTTGTATGGATATTCCAGTGGTCCGTAATAATGACATTTTGAACGGATGTGAAGTTATAGAATTTAGTAAAATAGATGAGGCTGTCAGAATTGGAAGATATTTTGCTGATTAAAAGTTTTTGGTTTTATGTATAATAAAATATAATTTAGTACACCTCAATAGTTTGTTTCTCTCTTTTGCAAATAGACCCTTCCACAGATTTTAGGTAGCAGCTCCAAGTAAATAAACACCATCAATATACCGCTCGCCATTTACCATGTAACTATTTACATAGAGTACTTGGGGCGTTTTGCTACACTATCGATATCGAATAAGTACGTTGAAATGCCAAAAAAAAATTCGCTTTCGGCGGTTGCCAGCGGCCAAGGGCGGTTTAAAGGGTAGAGGGGATAATTACCCCCCCCCCCCCCCCCAGACAAAGATTTTCTTTTTATTTTCTATACATTTATAAATACCAACAAAATTTGAAAAAAGTTCTACAAAGTAAAGTATCAAAGGCATTGTATAAATTAGGCTCACCAGTACCGACGTACGTACTACTATACAGGGTGTCCAAGATTCGATGGTTTTGGCGGGTTTCGGGTATTTCTAGAGGAGTTGGAAAAAATCTGACCCCCACTTGCAAGCCTCGATTTTCAAGAGAAGTTGACCGGTGACGATTCGTTTTCAAGCTACAAGGGGGAAAGTTGGCCAAATTTTCATAAATAACAAAGTTATAAATCCTCTGCCAAACTCCAAACCTTTCAAAAACCCCTCGTAGCATAAAAACGACTCGATATATCAAGATGCGGTTTTCACCAGTCAATTTCTCTTGAAAATCGAGGCTCGCAAGTAGGGTTCAGATCTTTTCCAACTCCTCTAGAAATACCCGAAACCCCTCAAAACCATCGAATCTTGGACTCCCTGTACAGTAGGATGAAGGCAATTCAATTTGAAAAAAATTAGCTATGATTGTTTGAAATATCTGGTTTTGTGTGTAAACACCCTTTAGAATGTTATCAGATTTTCATAGGACCATGAACGAAATGTAAGTATGCACTAACAACCTGCAAAAGCTCCAATGAATGAAATATGTTGGTTTTTGTTGACACATGCAAACTGCGATTTTTCGAAAAAATATTAAATATTTCGAAAAAGGTTGAGTCTTGGTATAAGTGATTCCTAACAAAAGGTATGTAGGCTTTTAGAACGATCCATTAATGTAATAAAGTATAGGGTGTTCCATTTAAAAATAACAAAGTTCTGTCCTATACCCCATTTATGGAGCACCCTGTATATTTTTGAAAAAGTCGCGTGCAGCACAGTACACGTGATAGAAGTGAATACTTATTTATCTCTCTCCTCATATTCATCATATGCTGCATCCCACTTGCGAGACGAAAATTTTATAAATCGTGTCATGACGAGACCTTAAAAAATCACTCGCATGCGGCCAAAGAAGTATTCACTTCAAAAATATTTTCAACTAATGCACCTTAGAGAATCAAACAACTTCTAATTTATTTATTTTTTCTTGCATCACTTGCTGTAAGGTGATATCGTCCGATATTGCACTAAGTGGACACACTATAACTATTTTGACGGCAACGGGATACATTTTTGCCCGAAGCGTGTTTTTTAAACGACTTTCGGGTGCAAATTTGGGCGTGGCATCCCAAAAAAAATTTTGACTCCGGCGGTACGTTGCGACACTTGATGATTCTCCCTTCATCTATTAGCCCCCCCCCCCCCCCCCCAGAAAATCATGTATGGACCGCCACTGCCAGCGGCGCTAATGGAACTGATCTTATTATAGTGCTGCCCCCCTCCCCCTGAGAAACCTCGTAACGACGCCCATGGTTACATACCTAAATCTTCTTTTTTTCCATCATCACCAACATCACTATGTACATCGGATTTATTCTTTTTGAATTCTGCGTGTCTAATTGCTTTAGCGATTTCAGTCTCATCGTATTGCATGAATTTATTTAGACGACCAATAGATACCATTGCTTCAGCCACCTAAAAAAATTCAGCTAGAATCTTCAGGATTAGTTGAAAATATTAGATTACCTGAGCAATTCCTTGTGGAAAAAATACGGTCATAGTCTGACGTAGGATATTGTAGAATGAAGTTAAAACGAAAACTTTTTCTGCGGTAACGTTGTTTCCCAAAAGAATATAAGCCAATATACTGCCGAAAATTGATAATCTGGTGCTGAACATTATAAAGGAGGATTGTACTCCTCGCATGTAGGAAGAATTTCTAATTGCTTTTATTTCAAACCTTAAATACAAAATGTAACCAATAATTTACATCAAAATGTCTACAAAGTACATATAAGTCAAAACTACTAAATACCATTATCAATTCAGCTATCTAAGGTTATTCTCATGGTATGCGCCTTTTTTTGTTAATTATAAGTTAATGATTTGTCCATTCAATTTATTTGTGACTAATATTTGACTCAACGAAACTGATATTGCACTCTATATAAAAACTTAAAAATCCCCTCTTACCTTCTAACTTTATCAACCAACATAGCAAAAGGTTTTTCCCAAGCATACATCTTGATCACTTGTATTCCGGAAATAATTTCGTTCATCAAACGAACCCTTTCGTCCGTCCTTAAGGCCGTTTTTAAGCGTAAAATTGAGATCCTTTTCCCAAGATAAACTAAGTACAATAAAAATAATTAGACAAAAATTAAATCAATAATAATCACAAACGTACTTAACATTGGGATGAAAACGATCAGTAAAATAACTCCGACCACTGCAGATATACCAACTTGAAGGTACATCATATAAGTACACAATATGGTTTGTAAGGGTCCCAACCAAAGATGATGGGCAAATATCACAGCTACGTCGAAACGATTTACATCATTTGAGAGGAGATTGACTACCTAAAAAACACAATTGTTTTTAGACTTGAAAATGAATCAGATCAGGTTGAAAACATTGGCCTAATTGATTTAAATTTTTCAATAAAATCGTTAAAATATCACCTTTTAACGAGACCTTCAAAACAAATTTATTTTCAAAATAATTTACGGAGTAGAAGTTGAAAGGTCCCCGCTATGGAATTATTTCAAAATAAAGATGTCATCTTTGGGAAAAATAATCAAGATAATGCTAATACGGAAATTTTTCAAAGATTTCCATAGTTAAATATGATAATGTAAACCATATTGTGGCCAGTTTAACATAATCATTGTTACGTAAACCTATACAGAAGTCCCACAACATCCTATACTGATATGATTGTATAGTTAAACAAAGCTCTATAATATAACTGATAGATATTCCAAATTTTCAGTTTTGAGTAATTTTAATCTAATAAATTAGAAACACAAAATGACTTTCAAAGCAGACTATAAATCATTGACTATAACAAATTGTCAATTTTTTTACTTTGATCTTTGAATTTCATTAAATTCCTTCACAATGACATTTCAAGGTCTATGATAGCAAGCAACCAGCTTCTAGAATTCATAAACTGTTCGTTTCAAAAATCACGAAACTCCTCCAAAATCACCTTTCAAGGCTGTGATAAATAGTGTGACTCATTTCTCAGCAACTTGAAACTCGCATTACTCATAAAGTAAACCTCTGTTTTAAAATAGAAAGTAGATCAGAAAGGGATTTATAATTTCTTGTCACTTCAAAATCTCCTTTCAAGGTCTTCTATAGTAGAGACTATGACTCATCGCGGCACCTTAAAAACTTCCTGAATTCGTAAACTGAAGTTTATTTGGAAATATAAATCATCAAATTGGAAATTGATAAAGCTCAGAAACGGATTTATAATTTTTTTTGCCTGTTTGGTCTTTAAAAAATCATAAAATCCTTCTAAAATCATCTTCCCAGATCTGCGATGAATAATGTACCTATGTAATGCATCTCAGCAACTTAAAACTTCCATAATTGATAAACTAAAGTTTGTTTGAAAATATAATAAATTACAATGATAATGATAAAGAAGTTTATTTATAGATAGGTACTGCATAGCCAACAGAGCAAAATTCAAATATATTTACTTTTATGCAACTTCTGTTTAAAGAAAAAAAATATATATTTTAATTTAACACGAAATTACATACAAGGTGAGGCATGAAAAACTTCCCACCCAGAGTTTCTCAGGTGTTAGGTGTTTAATCAAAAATCGCTCAGACATTTCAATTTTTGTTTTTTGGGGGACACATTTTATTGGTATTTTCACCCCCTACCTGTTAATCCCTAAGTGGGGGTAACAGGTATCCCCAAAATTTCAAATGGAAAGAGGGGTCGAGTGACATGTCATTTGGTAGCTGTCGAAATGGCGGCATGTCAAAGTTAGGATAAATGCTTTTTTTCGATAATCTAAACTGTATAGTTTTGACCTGTCACACCTATGCGTAGGTAACAGGTAAAATCCACACAGCATTTTTCCATTGATTTTTCCTAACTTTGACAAGCCGCCCACAAAACATCCCCCCTTAGAAATGTAAGTCTTATGAGAGACGTCAGTCTAGTCGTTTCAGCTTTTCCCTCCAATCACTAGAGGCGCTTCAATCAACCTATTAAAGTTTTCTTTTTCCTGCCGGACCGTGCGCCAAGATTTGAAGTTTATTTTGTCATTTCCAGTCGTCAAAATTTAAATTTTGAACTTCTCCCAACATTTAGAATTATCAATTACCTATCAATTATCAATAATTATTATCTCAAAATGTCTTCTCCCAGTTTGTTAATTGAAAAGCATCAGAAATGCTGTGTTCCGGGGTGCAGCGACAAATACAGCAGCTATTTCCGGTTTCCAAAAGATGCCGAAAAAATGAAACAATGGCTAATAAAAGTTCGCAATCCTTTACTAAATAGCCTCAGTGCCGAGAAGGCTTATAATAATTATAGAGTGTGAACAAGACATTTTCCTCGAGAATTTATTGTTGGCGATCCAAAAGCCAGACGAGGACTCACATGGAATGCTGCGCTTTTGCTGTATCTCCCTGAAGGTAAGTTAATACTAGATATATGTGAGAAAGACGTACTTACATTTTCACTTACTCCTGCCCATAGTTCTGATTAACGACAACGTGTTAGAATTCGGGTTTAAAGGAGCATAGGTCAGAAACATTAAAATTAATTTTAGCCCCAATTATCAAAAACAGTGAGGAGTCGTTAATTGATAAACCACAATCACCAAAATGGCAAAAAGTGGAGATCGACACAGTTGAAACTCGTCGAAGAGTCCTAAGACGCCTTCAGAAATTAGTTTCGCAACTATGATTGACATAGGTAGGTAAACATAATAACTCTGTTCCAACACGTCAAAAAATCGTCCCATGAACGGTTTCGAAACCACTCAGTATAACAATTTTAGTTTCTGCGCAGAATCGTGACGGTACATTGTACGGTTTTCTGCTGTGTTGGAACAAAGCTAATATTATTCATTTTTTTTTTTTTAATGTTTATTCCTTTATCAGAAGACACAATAATTAAAATATTCCGGGTTACATACAGGTACAGCATATTCTACAATGTGTGTATAAAAACGATGACGAAGTGGACTGTATCAAAGTTTTATTCTTCTCTAACGTTCACGTTAACAAATCAAGTACCTATAAAGAATAATAATTCTTACTATAAGCAAAAAAACAAGATTCATTTCTAATTGAAAATTAAGCAAATTGAACAAGAATATGAAAGAGCATCAGCTCATGCAAAACTAAAAAATATTTACGACTAATTTTAACAAAGGGTGCGGCTCGAGTAGCCGACGTCGGTGAAAATCAATAAAGTACTGCCCTCTAGAGAATTGTCCCCTCTCCGTCTAGTCTTCTCACTTCGGGTAGTTTACGCATCGCCGTAAAAATGTGTATTTGTAGATATTATATTAGGTTTTGGCCTTTTTTAATGTAGCAAGGCAATGTTGAATTTATGGAAACAGAAAATATTGTTTGTGATTTTTAACATCGCCCCCCGCCTTGGAAGGTATGGCTTTCAACACAAGAAACTAATGTTCAAAGGCACTAATCATTGATAGGGTACAATGTCACTAATTGGGATTAGATTGCCAATAGTCTAGCACTCAAAGTCAAAAGTCGGTAGAGGACATATCTTAGCGAAAGCCCGGGTAATAATTCCATTCTGCGTCTTAACGGTTACGACGCGAATTGCGCCGTCAACACCGGGATGAATCTGCACTATGCGTCCCAACGACCATTTTAGAGGTGGCAGATTTTCATCCTTAATAAGCACCAAATCATTCATCTTCAGCTCGCCTTTAGCCTTGTTCCACTTAACTCGTTGATGGAGCTCTGAGAGGTACTCGGATGACCATCTAGCCCAAAAGTGCTGCTTCATTTGCTGGATGTGCTGATATTGTTTCAGCCGATTAACTGGCGTCTGGGAGTAATCACATTCTGGCAGCGATTCCAAGGAACGCCCAATCAAAAAGTGGGAGGGAGTCAAGGGTGTCAAGTCAGAGGGACAATCGGACAGTGGAGTCATAGGACGCGAATTGACAACAGCCTCGATTTCAACTAGCAGCGTGTAAAACTGCTCGAACGTCAGAATAGTATTGTCGGCTACGCGTTTCAAATGTTGTTTGACTGTGTTAACACCTGCTTCCCACAAGCCACCGAAATGTGGGGAATTAGGGGGAATAAACGACCATACGATACCCTTGTTTTCTATGTCTTGAACCAAATTTTTTGAACATTAACACGCAAAAATTCGCCCAAACGATTGAGCTCGCGTGAAGCACCCCTGAAATTCGTACCGTTGTCCGAGAAAATTTGAGCAGGTTTTCCACGGCGGCCTACAAATCGCTTTAAAGCAGCCAGAAAAGCTTCCGTGGTCAGATCGCTGACTAACTCAAGGTGAAGCGCACGAGTAGTGAAGCAAACAAATACCGCTATGTACGCTTTGCTAATTTTACAACCACGACCCTGCCGATCTTTTATTTGAAACCAACCCGCATAATCAACTCCTGTCGTGCAAAATGGAGGTGCTGGTGTTACTCGAACTTTGGGTAGATTGCCCATTACAGGACTTGTCAATTTCGGGTTTACTCGAAAACATGTGACGCAATCATGGAACACTTTTTTAGCCAAATTGCGACCAGAAAGAGGCCAATACCTTTCACGAATCACGCTTAGCAAAAGTTGTGGACCAGCGTGCAACAACCGTTTGTGCTCCCGCCAAAATAGAAGTTTAGTATATCGATGTTTAGCACACAATACAATTGGATGTCTCTTTTCGTAAGCATAGTCAGAATTATTCAGTCGACCACCGACACGAATCAAGCCAACTTCATCTAAAAAAGGATGCAATTTCAACAGCTTGCTTTGGTTATGGACCTTGTTATGTTTAGAAAGAGATTCCAACTCATTTGAAAATGACTGACGCTGTGACACCTTGATCAATATTAGAGATGCTTTACGAATTTCACTAGCAAAAAGAGGCTCGAAGACTCTTTCAGGCTCAGGTTTCAAACAATTATTTCCGAAACGAAGGCAATAAGAAACTATACGCTCTAAACCACTCAAATTGGAATATTTCTCAAAATCAATTACGCTCTCATTCACGCTCTCATTCACAACTAAATTATTCAAAAGTACAGCCTTTCGCATTTCTGGCAACTGTTCACCCTTCGCAACGACTAAGGATTCGGGCCAAAACTCTTCGACTTTTTGTAACCATGATGGTCCACACCAATATGTATCTAGAGAGAACAATTCTCTCGGTCTAATGCCGCGCGAAACGAAATCAGCTGGGTTGTCTTGAGTGCAAACGTGGTTCCAATTTTTCACATCAGTCTTCTCCTGTGGGCCGATCCTCGGGCCAGGGAGTAGATCTCCCCGATAGAACGAATGTTTTGTCCTTGTCAACGTAACGGAAAAGTAAATGTGAATGATAAAGACGAAAAATTTGTTCTCTCGGGGAGCTCTACTCCCTGGCCCGAGGATCGGCCACCTGAATGGTAGCCACTCTATTTGCGACGAAAACCTGAAGCAGGTTTGCCGGTGTTCTTATCCAACCCAAAACTATGGTAGAATCTGCCCAAAACCTAACTTGTTGCGAATGGATTTCTAATGCTTGCATAACCTTTTCAGCCAAACGCGCCGACAAGACAGCTGCCATGAGCTCTAAACGAGGCACGGTTTGAACCTTTAAAGGTGCTACCTTCGACTTCGCACAAACCAACCTTACAGTAATGTTACCCCGGCTGTCAATAGAACGGAGATATACGCAACTACCAAATGCGCATGTAGACGCGTCCGAAAAAACATGAAGCTCTATTTGCTTTACGTCATTACATTTGACCTTTCTATGAATCTTTAAATCATTTAAAAATTTTAAATCGTCTCGAATTTGCAAATATCTTGTATATAAGTGTTGAGACAAAGAATCATCCCAATCTAATTTTTCTAGCCACAGATCACGAAGAAAAAGTTTCACAATTATTACACATGCACTCAATAAGCCAAGAGGATCGAATATCTGAGCGATTTCTGATAATACGATACGCTTTGTAACTCTTGGATTCGACTGGTCCCCAATTCGGTAAAAAAAGCTATCTTCTTTCCCATTCCAAAACATACCTAAAGTTTTGTTATTTTCTTTTAAACCAATATCAACTACAGAACCCTCAGACGACTCAATATCTCTAAAGACACTTGGCTCATTTGACACCCACTTGCGCAAAGAAAATCCTCCACTGGCCAAAACCTTACCAACTTCGTTGGCTATAAATACAGCTTCCTCCACGGTGTCCGCTCCACTCAACATATCGTCAACGTAAAAGTGATTTTTGATGACGTTTGCAACAACAGGAGACTCCTTTTCGACTTCTACACCGAGCTGATACAAACAGCGGATAGCTAAATATGAGGCTGCGGAAGTTCCATAAGTCACGGTATTTAACTCATAAGCATCCAACTCAGCTGCGGGGTTGTCACGCCAAATGATGCGCAATAAAGATCTCTGCGTGGGATCGACTTGAACCATCCTGTACATTTTGGCGACGTCAGAGGATAGCACGAATTCGAATTTGCGAAATCGCAACAAAATAGTGACTAGGTCACTCTGAATGGTAGGACCAACCATAAGCAAATCGTTCAACGAATGGCCGCTACTAGTCTTCGCACTTGCATTGAATACGATTCTCAACTTGGTGGTAGACGACGATAATTTCAGCACTCCATGATGGGGAAGATAGTAAGTATATGACGCTGAATCGGGTTGACTGACCTTCGTCATGTGTCCCATATTTCGATATTCATCGATAAACTGGTGATATAAATCGCGATACGTTTGATCACGATCAAATCTGCGCTCCAATGACAAAAACTGTTTTTTAGCAGTGAAATACGAATCGCCTAATTTTGCGGGGTTATCCTTCATCGGCATTTTGACTATGAAACGACCGTGCACATCACGCCTATGCGTTTCAAGAAAATGTGCTTCGCAAGCAGCTTCCTCACGAGAAAATTGCTTTTCAACAGAATATTCTTCGATTTCCCAAAAACGAGAAAGTTGTTTGTCGATTTCAGCGGTTTTAACGAATAGTCCAGGAGGTGGCGCCAAAAACATGCAAGAGTTTTCGCAAGGCGGATATTTTCAAAATAGGTCGTACTTTAGTGCTAGAATGCTAGTGTACAGTCAGCACTCACAGTTCCGGGACAGCTGGCTCTGGGACGCGGGCAAAGTTGTAATTTTAAGAAGCATCTAAACTGTTTTCTCAAAGCTCAAAATTTATAGAAATTTTGCACATTATCTGTTTGAAGGTCACAGATAACGTATGTAAATCGTCAGACGTCTAGTTCGATGCAAAAAGGGGGTCAGACATCCTCAAAGTTTTTATTTTATGGCATTTTCTTCAAATATATTTGTCAAATACCTGCAAAAATATATTTTGACAGGACACCGAAGAAAATGCCATAAAATAAAAACTTTGAGGACGTCTGACCCCCTTTTTGCAACGAACTAGACGTCTGACGATTTACATACGTTATCTGTGACCTTCAAACAGATTATGTGCAAAATTTCTATACATTTTGAGCTTTGAGAAAACAGTTTAGATGCTTCTTAAAATTACAACTTTGCCCGCGTCCCAGAGCCAGCTGTCCCGGAACTGTGAGTGCTGACTGTACACTAGCATTCTAGCACTAAAGTACGACCTATTTTGAAAATATCCGCCTTGCGAAAACTCTTGCATGTTTTTGACGCCAGCTCCCCAACTAGAAATTACAAATTGTCACATTACTGGTCGACGAACTGCTAGGACGAGATTCACTAGCAACCTTCCCAGAAATCAACCAACCTAATTTACTTTTTTGCAAAAATGGCCCACCTTGACCCAACTTTATTTGACTGACGCACATCAAATTCCAAAAACAATCGGCACCTATTAACATGTCGATTGGACCAACTTGGTAAAAATTAGGATCCGCTAGAGATGGGGGTATGTTCAAACAACGCATATCAACTATAAAGTTGGGTAGAGGTGTGGTTATTTGAGGGAGGCACAATGAAGCATGACATATCCATCGAAAATGCATTGACCAATGACTGTACTCTCACATTCATTTTACCAACGATGGTCGATTCAGTTTCATTCAAACCGCAAACTTTAATGTTTGCCGTTTCGCAAGGAATTGCCAGCTTGTACGCAAAGGATTTCGATAAGAAACAACTCTGTGAACCGGAGTCCAGCAGCGCACGTGCAGAAAATGATTTGTTGTTTTTATCTATTACGTACACTAAGGCAGTTGACAGCAGAACGCGTTCATTTTTGTGAGACAAAAAACCACAATAATTTTCCCCTGTCGAAATTTGGGAAGCCTCTTGTACGTCACTGGAATGCACCTCAGTGGAAGGCTTTGGATTTTCACGAATTATATGCAACAAGGAGTTATGACGCGATTTACAAAATTTGCAGCTACCAGAGAAACAATTTTTCAGCATATGTCCAACTCTCAAACAATTTAAGCAAAGCCGTTTTTTCTTTGCTTCATTAATACGCTCTCTAACACTGAGATTTTTAAAATCAATACAATCCTGAACAAAATGCTCCTTCTTACAAAAGCCACAAGAAACCGAGTTAGAGGTAACAAAAGAACGAGTTTTATTATCATGTCTTGAATTAAATTCGGTTTTTGACTTAAATTCGGTTTTTGACTTAAATTGCTTATTTTCAGATTTTGTTTGCTCTACGGCTTCCAAAAAATTAGCGCGCTCACGTAAAAATTTTAACAAATCTGACAACAGCGGCTTTTGAATTTCAGATTTGAAGTTCTCCCATTTTCGCAAAGAAACTGCATCCAATTTCGTAGAAATGAGATAAATCAAAAGCGTGTCCCAGTTATCTGTAGGCTCGTTCAACGCGTTCAAAGATCTAATGTGTTTTCCGATATTATCCGCTAATTTTCTAAGCGCACCCGACGAATTTTCCTGTATTTTATTCAGATTGAAAAGTTCTCGCAAGTGATTCTGAACTAAAACTTCAATAGGCCACAAATTAATTGCCAAGCGGATTCGTAATTCGCGTTGGAAAAACCCAAATTCGTAATAACTTCCAGCACTTGGGGCCCTAAAAATGACCTTAGGTAATGAAATTTCTGAATTTCTGACAAACTTTCATTATTGTGAATTAGTGATTCGTAAGTGTCTCGAAATTCCAACCACGAATTATAGTCACCATAGAATGTTTGAATTTCGATTGTTGGCAATTTAACTCCCTTAAAAACGAGACCCTGTGCGGCTAAACTCGCGTTACTCCTGCCTGATCCAGCGTTGCTGGCAGAATCTACATTATCCTGATCAACAGAAGAATCCGATAAAAATATTCTAGCCCTAGCAACCACCAGATGATAATTATTATCGAACGTAACGCGCTCTTGATATTGCTTTTCGAGGTCGGTTAATGGACAAATAGCTTCAATACTATCTTGAACCTGCTCAAACTCGCTCGCCAAACCAGAAAATGTTTCAAAACGAGATTCTAAATCTAAAAAATTGACGCGATCGGTTACAACATTTTCAGGGTACTTATTTTCTAAAAACAAAACAAACTTTTCAAAATTAGTTATTTTGGCCTTAACGGCGCCACGTTTACAAACAAGGGGATCCATGTTTTCTGTACTCATATTAATTATAATGCTTAATTATCGTACCGAAGTCAAACACAACGAAACGCGTTTGACAAATGCAACAAACGAAAAATGTACGGTTAAAGCAAGATCGAAACCGAAACTGTTTCAATCACGAAAAAGGACAAAAAACATGGAAATAAAATGGAAAGGACCCACCTTATTATTGCTGTTGTTCTTCAATGATGATTCCACAGGTTACAAACACCAAACCATAAAGCAGCTCCACATTCGGCTCGAAGGCCATGTATAAAAACGATGACGAAGTGGACTGAATCAAAGTTTTATTCTTCTCTAACGTTCACGTTAACAAATCAAGTACCTATAAAGAATAATAATTCTTACTATAAGCACAAAAACAAGATTCATTTCTAATTGAAAATTAAGCAAATTGAACAAGAATATGAAAGAGCATCAGCTCATGCAAAACTAAAAAATTTTTACGACTAATTTTAACAAAGGGTGCGGCTCGAGTAGCCGACGTCGGTGAAAATCAATAAAGTACTGCCCTCTAGAGAATTGTCCCCTCTCCGTCTAGTCTTCTCACTTCGGGTAGTTTACGCATCGCCGTAAAAATGTGTATTTGTAGATATTATATTAGGTTTTGGCCTTTTTTAATGTAGCAAGGCAATGTTGAATTTATGGAAACAGAAAATATTGTTTGTGATTTTTAACAATGTGTGTATCCTAACTTTTTTGGTAGAATCATTGGTAACGAAATTTCTGTTTTAGATCAACCAGGCCCTTCATGTCGTCAATTTTTATCTACTGAAACTTCTGCAATTGGGGCAGACGTGGCTACACCAAGTGGAACCATCACATCTGCAAACATGAAAGTCACCAACCAACTTTGTCTCTTAAAACTTTTATTGGTAGGTACCTAAGTGTTATTGCTTAATGAATAACCACCCAGTTGGGAGTAGGTGAATTTTGAAACATCCTAACTCAAGTAGGACTACTACTATAAAAGACTACTAATTACTAAAACTTGGAGTTGAATGCTAGAAAAATTAGAAGCATGTGCGAAAAGCTCGTCTCCAATCTTGATCTATTTTTTTTTGCAGGTCATGAGAGACGATGCCAAATTTTAAAGAACATTAACGTCACTAGGCAAAAATTCCTATCCCCAAGGGAAAAATATCTTTATTCCAGAGTTATAGAATCCAGCAATAAGTTAAGAAGAATCAGTAGAAGGTTGTCGTCATTTAAATCCAAAGTTTCTGCTGCTGAATAACTTGCATCATAAACCAAATTTCAAAGGCTCGTAGACCACGTCAATCCAATGATATACAGCTTTATTTTAAGCCAAGTCCATACTCAAAACCAAAAGGCTAAAGCTAGACGATTTACATTGGACGAGAAGTTGTTGGCGTTGTCTTTGCTTAAAGCTAGTGGTAAAGGGTATAGACTATTATCAAAAATATTTATTCTATCATCCAGGCGAAATCAGTTTCTTGAATGAGCTTTATATTATGTATAACTACATAAACTTTCCACCTAACACATGCGGAAAGTATATTTTCTGGACTTAAAGGCTTGTCCGAACTCTGCTTTTTGTTGTCATTCGTGCAACTTCCATCACGTGCAGAAACACTTTCCTCACTTGTTAGGTTAACAACGATTTTGGATTGTGAGAAAAGGACCTCTTTTGTCATTTTATTTACGATTTAAGTTTTTCATCAAGCTATTATTAAATGTACGTCATTACTTCTTGTAACTGTCCTTATTATCTTTAACTTAACTAGCATTACCTACCTATGTATGTATACTTACATGAAAAAAAAAACTGTTTCGCAATAATTGTAATTAATTCCATATTCTATTATATTTTCTGTTTCAAACTTTAATAAATATCTAAATTTGTCATCTTAATTCTTAGTCAATTTTACCTTGAAGGCGCTTCAACACTACCGATTTTATGAGTTTCTTCTTTTTGGCACAATTATTTTATGCCAAAAAATGGTAGAAACTTTAAAGTGGTGGTGTTGAATCGCTAGAATCAAACAATGGTGCAAACGATCCACCGGAACGAATAAGATACCGAACGAACCCTAATTGCTTTTTGCATTCGCCAATAAATCCAGAATTACAAAAGCTGACCCCCCCAGTCACTAGAGGCGCTGAAAACTTATAGACAGGTTCTCAACACGGCACTTACCTTTCTAAGGGGGGATGTTTTGTGAAGCCGCCATTTCGACAGGGTAAATAGTAGCAAGTTAAAACTTCGGGGATATATAGCATTTTCCAAATCTTCTCTGATTGTATTAACTGTTCATCAATAATGATTGATGGTAGGTTTATTCTCAAATTACTTATGTCTGGTTTTTGGGAATCATAATTATTTCCTTGAATTTTGACTTTACAAATCGAGGGTAAAATCAATGAAATGTTACTTATTACTTCAACACTATGTTGGCTGGGACATTGAAAGTAAATGCTCTCTCTTGATGTTGGGATAATTATAAGGGAATTGTCATTTAATTGTGTGACAGAAGTCTCCTTATAGAGTCATTGGGCAATGATTGGTTAAATTAATTGTTTGATACACGCAGGGCTCATTTTGATTGAGTAATTTGTCATTGGATCTCATCAAATAAGGGTTTCCTAATATCGCTATCTGGTTGTGTAGTAGAATTGGATATATGCGATAAAGAATGTAAGGTTTATCTGATATCAAAAGAATTGCAACATGATGACTGAATATGATTAGGTCATTGTAGACCTTCGTAATAATGTTATCAAAAGGAATTCGAGAGCTAGGCGGGTCAAATTTCGAGATTATGCTACAAGCCATAATCTCTTCATACTTAAATATACTGTGATGCATTATGTTTCTTTCTGCGAAAATAATTGTCGTTTGTACATTAGTGCGGGACTCATGAATGATACGTAGTGTAATGATCCTGAAAATTGACCCGATAATTACAAAGTCTTTACTGTAAAAATTAAATTTTATCAAATAATCAAAAACTTAATTCCGGTATTCTTAAATCAGTATCGATAAATTAAAAATGAAACAAATTAACGCTAACGTATCTCGACACCAAGCGTGATGCCATCCTAAAACCCGATCAATGAACTTTCTTTGTTAGCGAAGGCCATGCGTATCTAATTAATTCGAATGATATATGGCATTCTTGAACCCATAACGTTTTGACCTTAATAAATCACTATATTGCGACATAATTATTCGATTTTTTAGGCTGAAAATGATGTAAAATTCCAAGGAAATTGCATCATTATTTTAAATAATAATTAGGTTGGCCAATGAAAGTGTCGGATTGCTAGGCAAACGACCGCCTGTTGACGATTTGGGGGAAAATATAAATACCGCGTTTTTAGTTGTTAGAGTTAATTGTCAGTTATCAGTTGAAGTTACCCATTGTTAGCAGTCCAGTCTGTCCGTTTCCGCAAAAAGTTTCGTTTATGGCGTAAGGCCTCGGAAAACGCGTTTAATTTGACTTAGTAAAAATACGAAAAATCGTGAAAGAAATAAGATTTGAAATTCGTTCAATAATTATGTGCGGGCTCTAAGTAATCAAAAGAATTAAATTAGATTAGTTTTGTGTTTTATGGACAAAATGTAAGTACTCTATAGTGACTAGATTTATTTTTGAATGATGAACATGACTTTGTATGAATTTTACTAGAAAAACTTTATCTGTGGAACTTTATTACATTAAAATTAATAACTCGAGTGTTTTATAAATGGAACATTATTGCATAACTTTAATTGCCATCAGATATAATGATATTCTAATTTGATTGTGCAAAGAAAATATGAAGGGAGTTTATAATGCATTTAACAGAACATAAATAGTTTCGATTTGAGTAGGGATTATTAAAGAAGTTTGAACTGGATTGTCCAATTGTAAATTAAGGGCTATAATAACGAACTCATAAGAATTTAAATAATTTTGTATGTTAGTCTTGATGGCGAGAATTTGTAATTGTTCTAATTAAATGGAATAGGAAATCTTGAGAAATAGAATTGTCTTAAAATATTGGAAAGTTGTTAAAGGAAACTTATAATAGAATTTGTTCTGATTAAATAAACTATTGAAGGGAATAGAAAATTTTGAAAAGAAACTTGAAGATCATGAATTAGAATTGTCTTAAAATATGGGAAAGTTGTTAAAGGACATTTATTGTTCATGAAATGAATTTTGAATTAGGGTTTTTATTTTTCAAGTAAAAGTTATTGTAAGGTTTTATAAGAATAAGTTAGTTGATAAACAAATAGGTAATTATTTTGGGTTTTCGTAAGTAATCAGTAAGGGACTTAGAGATTTTAAAGAATTATTTAATTGGGTAAAGGGTAGTTATTAGGAATGTTTCGGATGTAGTGAAATGAGTTAAATTATAAGTATGAGAAATAGTAGGAATAGGGCGTTTCTTATTTAGTAGGGATATTTCAGTGGTCCGTAAAATAACAACCTAGAACGGATGTGAAGTAATTGATTTTATAGAAAGAAAGAAGGATGTAAAGGATTGGAAGATATTTGGCTGATTTTGGTTTTATGTAAAATAAAATATAATTTAGTACACCTCATTAGTTTGTTTCTCTCATTTGCAAATAGACCCTTCCACAGATTAGATAGCAGCTCCAAGTATATATAAACACCATCAATATTATACCGCTCGCCATTTACCATCTAACTAATTAAATAGAGTACTTGGGGCGTTTTGCTACAGTAGATTATTTTCTAAGTCATCAGCTAAGACATAGATTTAGCTAAGATAATGAAGTACGTCGTTGTTGTCTCGGACGGCGTTATTGTCATGAGGTCATTAACTTGGGTTAACAAAGTTTCTTGGTTACTTTTTTAACAATTGTTTGGGTTGAAGATATCGGGTCTTCAAAAAAAAAACAAGCAAAGATAACGGGTCAATTAAGTTAGCCCCCCCCCAAAGAAAATTTCTGGATGAAAATTATCCCATAATTTTGCTCTCATTTTGCTCCATTTTGCTCCACTAATTTCGATTTTTGCTCCATT